CTTGTCTTCTTTCTATCCATCCTCTGTCTTTCTCCAAGAGTCCTCACTCCAGGAGAGCACTACCCGAGAGCACTTTCTGCCATAATGAGAAGGCTCTATCTCTGTGTTGGCCAAAAAATATTACTACTCCATGAAATAAGGTACTACAATTGGACAACTGAATTTTTATTAAATATAAATTTATTAAATATAAAATGGGCACAGGGGCCAAGTGGTTTGAACAGTACAGTTCTTAAACATCAATCTTCATATTTCCTACCCAATTAAAAACATAAAATAACAAAAAAAAACCCCATAAAACAACTCATCACCTACAGGAAGAGGTCTAGAGTCTGTAATGTGATGGTGAACGATCTTCATAACACAACTTCTTCTGCAGCTGCTATCACCTCCTCTGCTCCAATTTAACCGGTACTTTAGTGCTACCTGTCAATGGTCTTGGAAACCCACAAGCGCTGTTCTATCCTATTCTACCAACTTGATGGTAATGTTTGTTTGGGGGAAATTTTTCAGGGCTTCAACTTTGTTTTCCTAAAACAAGCCATATCTTTTCAGATTTCCCAAATGTTGATTTTGTTCTTTGCTCTAGAATGCCCATCCTTTCAAAATGTGCCACATTCTTCAAAGTCTAATAAAAAGGTCCTGGGTAGTGCTAACCATTGACAGGCTCATCTGCTAACCAAAAGGTTGAAAGTTCATGTCTACCCAAAGGCAACTCAGCAGAAAAACCCTGGTGATCTACTTCTGAAAAAAACAGTCATTAAAAACCCTATGGAACACAGTTTTGCTGACACATGGGGAACCTCCATAAATCAGAAATGACTTCACAGGTAACGGTGTTTTAATAAAGCTATTTGCTCTTGCACTGAGGTAAGAGGTCCAAAGTTCATCTGCTTCCTTGTTGCATTTGAACTTATATACATATATAAACAAATATATCTATGAATATATTTACATTTATACATATGAGAGGGTCCCCCACTGCCAAAATCCAGAATTGCACTGGGCAGAGATGAATTTTCATAGCATGAATTTTCCCTGCTAGGTGAGCATGAAGCAACTCTCTCTGAGTTAGTGCACCCAGTGGCATCGCCTGGGAAGGTTCTTTCTGGTCACAGTGAATTTTTTCATAAAAACAGTTTTGCTCAAACCTGTTTTTTTGTGATGGCTGATTTAAGCAAACAGTGTGAGGCTGTGAAATTTTGTTTTCTGCTCTGAAAAAATGCTTCAGACACTGTTTTGATGTTGAACACAGCTTACAAGGGCAGCATATGGGAAAAATTCAAATGAACAAAAATTCAAGTGAAAAATTCAATGTCCATTGACAACTAACCTCATTCTGGACATCCATCAACTTCCTGAACAGACAAAAATGTCAATTCATAGTGCATTTGGAGTACATTTCACCAGGTCAGACTGTAATAAAACTTTCTATTTAGAGGTTATGAAAAGATAGTATAACAGTGTGTGACAAAACAGGCCTGATTTGTGGCAGATGGGGGACGGGTTTTGTCACCACAACAAAGCACCTGCTCATGCAGCCATCTCAGTGCACCAGTTTTTGACCAAAAAACCAGCATGTCTCTCTTGCTTACCTTACTCACCTGGCCTTGCTCCATGCAACTTATTTTTGTTTCCTTGAATGAAGAGGGACATGAAAGGACAGTGATTTGATGAGATAGAAGGAAGGAGGAAAAAAGCGAGGGAGGTACTATAGGCCATCTAAACAGATGAATTTGAAAAATGTTTCCAAGAATTGAATTGCAGATTTGACAAACATATTAAGTGTAGTAGAGAGTACTTTGAAGATGATAAGTTTGTTTTGTAAAAAATGTTAAATACATAGCTTTGGGGAGAGGAAAAAAAATCTGCTTTTTATTTGTGTGTGTGTGTGTGTGTGTGTGTGTGTGTGTGAGAGAGAGAGAGAGAGAGAGAGACCCCACTCGAGGGGAATGAACAACAGAATTGTATGTGAATGGATATATTGCATGGTGTAAGATGTGGCAAATTAATTAATAAGGTTCCTGGGGGTGAGGGGATAAAGAGGAGCTGAAATTGGGGAGTTCAAGAAGAAAGAAAACGTTTTGAAATCAACTGTGGTAGCAATTGTACAATACTATTAGCTCTGAATAAAATTATATAAATAAATAAATGCCTCAAGTCAATCTACTCTCCCCCAACAGAAAGATCATCCTCATCCTTGTTTTGGGGAAGCCATTTAATATTGCATAACAGACTTTCCTTCTGTAAAGTAAGAATAATAAAATTATCTCCCTTATGGAGTTGTCGGGGGATACGCTACTGCATCATTCTACTTACACCATTGAGAAAGCATTCAATAAGAAGCAGCTATTATTATTTCCAGTCCCTCACTAGCATTTATCATTACTCTGTTAGAAGTGTATCCAGATGGAGCGCTCTTTCCTCAGGACTTTGAATTCATTAGCAATAAAGACTTGATCTTGTTTATTATTGTCCCCCAACACCAGGCACAATGTGGCCATTTGATAAATGGCTTGGCTAGGGGACAAATAACTGAGTGGATCAAGTACTCACATAGGATGTCATAGAAATTAAAAAAGAATATGTTTTTTGTATGTATCTTTAGGGAAGGATAAAAGAGACATATAAGGATAAATCAAGAAGTATTGCTATAAAATCATAGAAACCCTTATTAAACAAAAATATTAAACTGTAAAGCTGTTATTTTTTGACATATCTAGGTCTATACACTTTTTTTTTTTTTGTCTATACACTTTTAAAGGCTGTGTTTTTGTTTTTGTTTCCTGGATGGTAGCAATTATAATGCTTAATGTCTGGAACAGCTTTCTTTTTTATTTTTTCTTATCACAATCCATATATCCATCCATTGTGTCATGCACATTTGTACATTTGTTGCATTATCCTTCTCAAAACATTTTCTTTCTACTTGAGCCCTTGGTATCAGCTCCTCATTTTCCTCCCTCTCTCCCCGACGCTCCCTCCCTCACGAACCCTTGATAATTTATAAATTATTATTTTTTCATGTCCTACACTGTCTGATGTCTCCCCTCACTTTTCTGTTTCCGTTCCTTGATGCTTGATACCTGATCGTATCGAAAAGGTCGTGTTTTCATCTGTCTATCTCTTCCTTAAAGAATGTAATGTTCTTTGAGTTTGGGGGACAAAAAGAAGTCTGAAGAGGCAAGATCAGGGTTGGCGGGTGGACAATGTAAGGTTTACCAATGAAATTCTGAAGAACAGCCCTTGCTATCCAGGAAGAACGAATAACTGCTTTGTCAGGAAGGCAACTTTTTCCCCAGGCCTTATCTCATTAATCCAGTTTTCAATTTTCCTAAACTTCTTCATAATATGCTCCTATGATCATCCTGTGTGCTCCAAGAAAACCTATCTATAGTACCCTCCTAAAATGCACAGCAAACAAAACCTTCTGGAGCTGCCCTCTCTGCCTTGAATTCAATCGTCCCAGCAGATGCACTCAGAAGCCTATGTTTTGATTGGGCTTTGTTGCTTCGTTTTGGAAGGTGAGTTAGCCAGCCTAAGACAAGGAAGTGTATTGCTAAGGAAACAAGAGAACTACTGCGGGAACTTCTCTGCAGCCATTCACTGATTCCAGAAGCTTGTTTAAGCACATCTTGTTTACATTAAAGCGATACATGTCTAAACTGGAGCCCTAGTAGCTGTACTTTTTGACTTACTTCGTATAGTTGTAACAACACTGGGGGAGTGAGAGGGAGACAAAAAAAGCCGGGGGTGGGTGGGAGGTGGAGGGAATGCTACAACTTCTAAAGTATTAAAACTTTCCTGTTACTGCCCGGAGAAGCTAGCATATGCCTTTTTTGCTTTTATCTGTGCCCGTCTTGTCTAATAGGAGCTGAGTGTTCTAACATTTGTGTCTTTCTGACTTTCCTTTTTGGGCCTCTGGTTCCTCTGTCCCTCCTCCCCCACACTCTCCCATAGTTGCTAAGCTTCCATCACTGTCACCAAGGCAACAGTAGGGATGCCTCAGTTCTCACAGGCTCTGCATATCTAAACTCCAGTCTCCTTTGTCTCCTGAAGTAGCTGAATCTTTTGTGTGTGCACCACTAAACCAACTGTCTTGTATATAGGACTTTACCCATGCGTTTACCTAGGGGACCCTGATGGCACAGTGGTTCTGCCGTTGGTCTGCTAACTGTGAGACCTGCAGTTTAAAACGTCCAGTGTCTCTACAGAAAAATGGGCTTTCTCCTCCCACAGTTAGAGTCTTGGCAACTCACAGGGGCAGTTCTACCCTAACCTTTACTTTCTTTCTTTTGTAATCTTTAAAACACTAACATCAAAAACAACAACAAAAAGTGCCTAACAAGTTGTTCTCCTGAGAATGGCCCTTTCTCAGACCTGTCCAAGTAGAAGATCTTAACTGCACCGTTTTGATTGGTCCTTAGGAGCAAGTATAAAAAGTGCCAGTAGAAGTGCGGGTCCATTTTAAAGCAAGAAACAGAGCATTCATAATGAGCTTCCCTTTTACAAGCACAGTATACCAAAAATAAACCTGACAAAGGGCAGCTGTAGAGTTGTAACATGTAGAAAACTTCACAGGCAGGAATTATGTAACTGTACAGAACCATGATAAATATTTCACTACTGTCAGAAGAACTATCTCTGACACCTGGAAAAGCAAAGCCCGCAAAACACACCTTCCCTCTCCACAGAGTAAAGAGCTGAGAGCGAGAAAGCTACGAGGCTGCAGCTGCTGCTCACATCTGAGACCGCTGTCCCGCGGCGGCGGTCTGGATCGATTTTTCTCTCTGTGGGTCCGCGGAGGGCCCCAGCAACCCCCATCTTCTGGGGAGCTCTCGCCAGCCGCTTCCCCGACAATTTCCCCCAAATCTCCACCCCCAGGTTGAGCATCCAATAAGAAGTTCTGTGCCAAGGAGCGGAGGAGGCCAGGGGGTGCCGGCGGGTTGGCGCTGTACCCAGCCGCCGGCTCCGAGCCCGGGGACAGCTGGCAGCCCCGCGCCCAAGGGACACAAAGCCCATCAACCCGGCGGGGACGACGCGCGGGGCTTTCTCTTCCGCCCCGCGTGCCCCGCGCGCCCGCACTAGGACCCCGCGGACACCTCGTCCGGTTTGCACGGCCCTCCTCCTTTTACCACCATCCCCGGCTATAAAGAACAGCCGCGGACCCCTAATCCCCGGCTCGGGAAGACTGGCCGCCGAGCAACCCGCTGCGAAGGCGCTCGGGCCAGGGCAGCTTGCGATCCAGCGGGAGCCTACGGTGCCCCCCTTCTCCCCCTCTCCCCTTCTCCCGCCCCGCGGAGTACGGGGCTCCGGGCGGGTTGGGAGCGCCCCTGCAGCCTGGACCCTCGGCCTCGGAGGAGCAGCCTGCTCTGTCCCCGAGAAGATGGCGAGGGGGAGCCGCCACCGCCTCCTCCTCCTGCTGCTGCGCTACCTGGTGGTCGCCCTGGGCTGTAAGTTGCTGGGCTCCCTCCCTCCGCGCCGGCACCCCCTCCTGCCAGGACCCCGACGCCGGGGGCCCCCAGCCCCTCCGCGCCCCTCTCCGCGGTGCTCCCCAGGGCTCCGGGCGCAGGGCAGAGCCTCTGGCCGCCCGGGCCAGCTTGGGCAATCCGAGGGGCGGGCGGGACGTCGGGCAGCGGGGACCCAGGAGGCCAGCGCCCCAGGTCGTCTGGGTTCTCTTAAATGGCTTCGCTTTTACCAATCTAGTTAGAGAAGAAGATGAAGGGTCCCAGCAGCAGGTTCTTACAAAGTTGGATAAGTTTTAAAGACCCAGCGATGTAATGTGACCAGAATGCAAAACTCACTAACTCCTTACGGGATGAAAAGAACTAGATGCCATCGGGTTGATTCCGACTCACAGCCGCCCGGAGGACAGGGTGGAACTGCCCCTCTGGAGTTCGGAAACCCTTAACTCTTTACAGGATGGAAAGCTGCTTCTTTCCCCTGCAGAGCGGCTGGTGGTTTCAAACTGCCGGCCTTGTGGTTAGCAGCCCAGTACGCACGCCCCCGGGATGTGGGGATAAGATTCTACTATGGCATCGCTCGGTGGCGCCTGCCACACTTTAATGATCGGTGTCGTTTTCTTGCCTTCAGAGCGTCCCAGGGGTGCTGCCGACCCGACCCGTAAGGCACTCGGGCGCTGAGGGGGGCTGGGGAGAGTTCGGGGCTACTGCGTCCAAATGCTTCTGATTCTCTGTACCTGCAGTTTCACATTCACTTAGGGAAGCCCAGTCGGCGACTCGGCAGCCGCCGTGTCTGACGGAGACATCCTCCCGGGTGGTGTGTAGGAAGATGCTGAAGCTGAATGATCAAACAGAGGGAGGGACGAACCAAAACCAATTCCACAGGATGGTTATGAACAGGATTTTCATGGATTCTGATCTCACGAGATTTAAAAGTCCTGGGAATGTTTCGTCTTCGCTTTGCGTTAACTTTGCAGGAAAAGTGAAGGAAAGTACAATGGATGTTAAGCAATGGAGTCATGCAGTTCTCTCTCTCTTCTCTGTCTCTATCACAATGGGATATTATTGTTGCCCTACGTTGTAATACTTAAAATAACTTACTTCTTTAGTGGTGTGATCCACACCAAACGCAGTGCCATCGAGGCAATGCTGCTGATTCACAGTAGTCTAATACAATGACGGGTCTTCATGTTCCCATTGCGGAGGTGATTGCTGCTCCCCGCAACGTGATGTGAGCTGTGGCCCTCCACGGGGGAGGAAGGTGCAAGGTGTGGCCGCGGAAGGCCCTGCGCTGACCTATATTGTAGAAAGCCAAACCAGGCAGGCAAGCGCTCAGAGAAAACCAGGATATGAGTTTGAACTATCAATTGATAGCATGCAGAGCACACCATGGTGGTGGAGGTGGGGCAGTGTAAAGTAACAAGAAGGCAAGTGGTGGCACTGTAAAAAGAAAAACTGGGAAAGTTATGTATTACATTGAAATTCCTAAACTTAAAAAAAAGCCTCAGACTTTAGAATTGTCACTGATGAAAACTAGACAAAATTGTCTTATTCTGTTACTTAGAAAAAGCCAAGAGGCAAACAAAAAAAAGTTAGTGGATAGAATAAGGTCTTTTTTTAAGCATTGGGTAAATAGACTATTCTTTTACCTCTGATGCCTTTCGTGGTTTAATTTGGAAGTGTTGTAGGGATCATTTCTGTATTGTTTCTGGACACCAATAGGTCGGTTTTTGCCATTGTGTTCTGTTTAAACTATTTTAAACTTCAGGACCATTTTAGATTAACAGAAAAATGACAAAACAGTTCATTAAATTCTACGTACTCAGTTTCTTAATATTAATGTATTGATATGGTACATTAGTCACAATGAATGAAGGAGTATTGTGATAATATTAACTAAAACCCACCTTTTCTGAACATTTTCTTCACTTTTTTTACCTAATGTCCTTTATCCCAGGACGATGACATTTAGTTGTCCTGTTACCGTGGGCAACCCTGGGCTTTGATAGGTCCTCAGACTGCCCCAGTGTTTGGTGACCCTGACAGTCTCAGGAGCCCTGAGGGTGCTGTGGGCCGAGCATTAAGCTGCAAGGTCCTGGACTACAACCCAGCAACCGCTCCCTGGGAGAATGATTAGGTGTCTGCTCCCATGGAGATTTACAAAGCCTCAGAAAACTGAAGAGGGACGTTCGGCTCTGGTCTATGTAGGGTCCAAATTGACTCAGTGGCACTGGGTGTGTGTTTTTTATTATTGTCACATATTTTGAATCTCTCATTTGGGATGCCTGATGTTTTTCTCGTGATTATTGTTTCTTTGGAGGAGGACTATGGAAATGAAGTACCATTTTCCTCATCTCTCCAGAGTACAGGCTAACAACATGACTCCTCATTGGTGATGCTAAGCTTGCTCACCTGGGTGCCATGGTGCTTTCAGCTTTTCCCACTCTAACGCTTCTAATTTCTACCCGTCTCCTTACTGTGCTTTTTGAAAGAAAATCACTACAGACAGCCCTCCTCCCGCCCTTAAGATACCTCACCTCCAGAAATATTTATTTTATCTTTGGTTTGTAAACCAAAATATTTTTTATTGCTCATTAGGTGGGGGTGTACATTTCAGATGATCAGTTTTGAATTCAGCAGTTTAAATTGCTAATCAACAACCCCCTCATAGTTTACCCTTCTCTTGTTCGATTTCTCTTCTCCTCCCTGTGGATGCTTATAATCTACTTCACCTGAGCTAACTCCTCTCAAACTACTAGCCCAGGGCTCACTCACCCAACTTTTGAGATGGAAGAGCCAATTTTATTCCTCATAACAATTTAAAAAATATTCGAGAGTTATAAATATACTTCTGGAAAAAAAATGATATCACTGTTATCTGAATAGCATCCTTTAAAATTTTTATAAATGAAGCTATGATCGTTTTATTTTCATTTTCAATTTTATTTTAAATATATGGACTGTAAGAGCACATATGTGTCATGAGCCACAGTCTGCCAACCTCTGGATGCTCAAACCTATTGCTTCATCTTCTCTGGTTTGCCTTCCACTCCACCACTCTGTTCCTTTGGATACAAGTCTTTATTATGCCCCCTCCCCTTGTAACAGTGGTCTCTTATAATGTGTCCTTTTGTGATGGGCTCCAGGTCCACCAGGCCTCATGAGGCTCATGGTTGTCAACATGGTGCTTAGTGATGCATTGGATTCCATTGTGTGCACTTGCCAACATTTCTTTATCCACTTTCTCCGGACAGGCATTTAGGTTGTTTCCGTCTTCTTGCTATTGTGAACCGTGTTGTGCTGAACATGTCATATGTCTGTTCCTGTTGTGACTCTCACTTCTTTCAGGTACATACCCATCAGGGGAAGTACTGGATCTTATGGAATTTCTGTTCCCAGTGGTTTGAGGTAGAACTTTTAGGCTTTCCACAGTAGTTATACATATTTACAGTCCCATTATCTGTGTGTGAGGGTACCAGTCCCTATGCAGCCTTTCTTTCCAGCATTGACTGTTTTCTTTCTTTCTTTCAACTTGGCTGTTATTGTCAGTGTACATTTGTAGCTATTTTTGCTTTGGTTTACATCTCTCAGATAGCTAGTGCCCATAAGCATTTCTTTGTATGTTTGTTGGTGATTTGAGCGTCCTCTTTGGTGAACGGTCTGTTCATGCTCTGTGCTCATTTTCCTTGGGTTATTAATCTTTTTCTCATCAATCTGTTGCAATCTTTTATAGATTTTAGAGATTAGTCTTTTGTCAATCATTAGATTTTTTTCCCCCTCACTCTATGGGTTCTCTTTCACTCTTGATGAAGTCTTTTGATACACATAGGGGTCTTATTTTTTTAGATCGCAGCCATCTATTTTGTCCTCTATGGTTTGTGTTTCCATTATTATATTTGATAGGGTGTTTATGACCTGTACTAGGGCCCTTAAGTTAGTCTCTATTTTCTCACTGATGATCTTTATAGTTCTGAGGTGTACATTTAGGTGTTTGATCCATCTTGAGCTTATTTTTGTCCATGGAGTTCACAGGTGTGAGTCCTGTTTCATTCTTCTGTGGATAGAAATCCAATTTTGTCAGCACCATTGGTTGAAGAGACCAGGCCTATCCCGTCTGATATTTTTCAGCCTTTGTGGAGGAAGCCTGGTGGCATAGTGGTTACACATTGGGCTGCAAACTTCCAGGAATGAAACAATTAAGAGGAATGGTGTTGCATTCATTGCTGATCCTCAAGGGAAGGGTGAGACTTGCTGTTCCCGTAAAGATCTGCAGCCTCAGAAACACACTGGGGAGGTTCTGCTCTGCCCTTTAGGGTTGCTATGAGTCAGAATCAACCTGATGGAAGTGAGTTTGATTTTAAATTTAACTAATTACATACTCGCCTTTTTAATATGCCTCCCCAATATAAGGATATCATCAAACTTATCCCATTCTCTTCTTTCATTTCAGATTTTGTTTGTAAGCATTTTGTATGTATTAGTTGCCTTGAGTATTGTTTTTTGTTGTTTAAACTGAGATTTCACATACATATTGATAAAGGGAGTTCTGGTGGCACAGTGGTTATGGGCTGTAGTCCAAAAGTTTAAAACCACCCACTGAACTGCATTATAAAGATGGGGCTTTCTACTTCTGTGAACAGTTACAGGCTTGGAAACTCATGACAGTTCTGCCCTGTCCTATGAGGTCTCTGTGACTTGGCATCGAATCAATGGCAGTGAGTTTGCTTTGGCTTGGATTGATATATATGGTGCCATCAGGTACGTGTTGGACTGCTAGCTGCAAGACTGGAAGTTCAAACCCACTAGTCGCCTCGAGGAAGAACAATGACTCTGTCTGTTCCCATAAAGATTCACAGCCTCAGAAATCCTATCTAGGATTGCTGTAAGTTCTAATTGACTCAGTGGGAGTGGGCTTGGTTATTTTGGTTTTGGTATTGCTATGTGGTCATTTATTTATATTTTAGTAGATTTATATTTTTCTTTCCCACTGA